AGTCTCTTATATCTAAGAAAGTACAAATTAAACTTTATTTCTGAATCGTTTTAGAGTTTATGATGTCTATTGATCGATAAATTTGTTCTTTATGATCAAATCATTTTTGGTTGTGTTATTAATTAGAGGCAATGGGTGAAACTATTTTGTATAATTAATTTCATGTTTGATGTGTTATTGAGTTCTTGAATGCATGGTAAGTTGTTGACCAATGTAAATTTGTTTTTTTACTCTTATTTGTATAACGTCAATTTCAACTCGAATAATGATGTTCAATATCTACTAAATATATTCGTAGCATAATCTATGGGAAGTCTATGGGAGGCTGTTTGAGTTTTCACACTTTTTCACAACCACATAAACCTCCCATAGATTTTTTTGGTTAGTTTTCGTATAATATTTTCAACCCAAAAAACTCAAAGAACCGATAAACAGAAACAAACTACCATGAATTCATTTTAATTTGTTTCCGGTTGACATTGGACTTTGATGATAAGATTGTTATAATCAAAGCAATGGTAAACAAGTACGAGATATATATATATGTTGGTACGAAACATCATAAAAAGAAGAAGTGTGGCATGAACACAAAAACATGCACCACAAGCACACCACATTTAACTCGGTAATTTTCACTAAAAACTCATTCGAATTAAAAATTTTATTTTTTTCTACAACATTACATAATAGGAATATTATTTTTAATAACCAAACTTAATTGAATTATAGTTTTGTTTAGTGTGTGAGGGTTAAGACTTCTCTAGAGTTAAGGCTTCCTAATAATATAAATATACCAGTGTTATACGACGTGAGTATAAAACCCCCCAAAACTAACTGAACACTACGAGCTAGATTTCATTATCGCTGCGTGGAATCGAACCATAGTTTTGTTTAATTTGTTAGGGTTAAAATTTTCCAAGGGTTAAGGCTTCATACTCTTAGGATTTAGTTCCTTTTAGTTTAAAAAAATGATTTTAGATGAATTTTTAATTTGCTAAAAATATAAATGGTATATATATAAATTATAAAAAATATGATGGAAACAAATTTTAATCAAAATAAATTAAAAATAGTGATAGACGATCGTATGATATAAATGCTTGTACAAAGTTATATGAGAAGGATAAGTGCAACGTGAGGCATAAAATCACTTCCCAAAACTAATCGAACACTATACATATACGAGTAATATTTCTAACTAAGCTGAATCGAACCATAGTTTTGTTTACATTACTAGGGTTAAGGCTTCCCTAGGGTTAAGCTCCCCACTTTTAGGATTTAGCTTCTTTTAATTTGGAAAAAAAGGAATTAATATTTGTTTGATGATGTTTTTAATTGTTTAGTCTCACATATTGATTTGATGAATTTTTAATTTGG